CAGTGCTTAATTGATGATTAAGTTTATCTATCTGCATTATTTCTGTAAATTATCCCAGGTGGGCTCTCCTACCTGCTGGGAGGATACTCAGTAGTTAGAGCTGTAGTACTAAATAGCCTGCAAGTAACACATTTTATAAACCAGACTGTATTTAGCCTCTGTGTTTTCATTATAGCTATTTTCCAGACACCAAAAGTTGTGTTTGTTTTTTGAAAGAGACTCCACAAGTATAAACTAGAGCTTAACTTTTTAGTATTTGTAAATGTTAACGTGTTTTATTGCTGAAGAGCTGTATCAAAACTTTACACAGGACATTGAATTCAGTGCTGGTAAGGGCAGCACTGAATGTATGTAGAAAGCATTACATCATGAAGGGATGGAAACAAAGAGCTCTGAGGGACTGGGATAGGCAAACTTCCCTCCACTCACAGGAAATGGGTGAAGCCTTTCTTGAAATTATTATTCAGACATTTTGTGCTGTGAAGGAAATGTCTCCTGATAGCACAAGCTATTGGTTTCCTGTTGTGAACTAACAGTTTTGGCAAAACCAAGAATGGACAGGAAGGGCAAATGATTGGGGGCCATTGGAAGAACTTATTTTAATGAAAAGACCAGACCAAGTAAGTGGGAAGAAATTTGGCCTGGAAAAAACCCTGAAATTAAAATGGGAGCGGGGAAATGGGGAAGAAAAGGGCTCAGTGGAATTAATTTCTACAGTGGAATTAAATCTTGGTGGAAATAAATAAAAATAACAAAAAAATAATGTTCCCTACGAAATGTTCACAGGGTTAGCAGGGGGAACTCTGTTGTTGGGCAGGAAGTATTGCAGGGGGAGAAAGCCCTTTGTGTCCTACCTAATCAAGAGCCTAATTCAACAAATATATATCCGGCTTCCACACTGAGGAAAGCAATTTTTGGAAGGTTTCACAGATGCAGAATTGCTTAGGGTTTTTTTTACAAGTAAGACCTTATAGCAGAGGCACTTTCAAGTGTTTTTTTTTTCAAGCAGGGTGTATAAATAGCAGTGCCAGCAGGTCCTTGCACTGCCTGAGTGCTGGGCCAGCTGAGTGTGAGCCTTCCAGGCAAAGGGAACACAGGCACAGGCTCACACAACAAGTTCCTTCCCAGCCTGCTGTGACAGGTTCTGGTTTATACTTGTGGAGTCCCAGCCTGCTGTGGCTTCCCTTGTCCTTCCTGAGGTCTCTGGGGACCTGTGCCACCTCCACAGCCTTGCTGAGGCCGTGCCAGGACTGCCCTCCCACGTGTGTTCTTGGCTCTTCCCTGGAGGGAACAGTGCAGAGATGGTCCCAGCCCCAGAGCCTTCCTCCTGGAACTGTGTGCTCTTGGCTCTTCTCTGGAGGGGACAGTGCAGAGCTGGTCCCAGCCCCAGAGCCTTCCTCCTGCAGCCTTCCTCCATCCCAGGGGCAGGAGGATGGCAGGGCATGGCAGGGAGCACTTGCTGAGCTCTGCCCTGTCACTCACAAGGTTTCACTGCCAGCAGCAAAAAGTAAATCCAAAAATCTCTCCAGTGTTGCAGGCTTCTTTTTAGGATGGCAGCCTAGGTTTCACTTCAATCATTCCAAGTGCCTAAAGGCTATTTCTAAAAATCAATTAAACCTGCTTGGGCTTCTGTGTTATGTACTCTTGGAGCAAGCATTTGCACCCTTGCAAAGATGTTTTTGATTGTATGGAAATTCAAGGTTGTAGAAAATGGCTGCCTGGTTCAGGCAAAACATGAAAAGAGTTACTTTGCTTTTGCAGATTCTTAAAAGGCTGCCTCTAAAGAGTCTTTTATGATGCCAAACCCAAAAAAGTTTGTAAAAATGTGTCTGAATTTGTTTTGGGATTTAATTTATATAGAATTTTTAAACCCATATACAATGTTTCTGCTATCTACTCTTAGAAAAATACAAACTTCAGTCACGTTGGAATAATGCTTTTTTTTAACATCTCCTTTTAAATATTTTTGTTTCCATTTAGGTCTGCCAGCATTACCATGGAAACCCCCAAAAATAAAGACTTTCCCAGCCTTATGAGAGTACACCTGCAAGAGCAAGAACTGCCTATCAAAAGTGACTTCTTCATTATGGGTGTCACCTAAGGACATTTTGTGCGGTCAGTATGACTTTGTCTCTCAAAATTTATTGAAATTATATTCTCAGCATTGATACAATTTGGTGTCTTGCCATGGACCAGTAACAAATGTCTGTTGCTACCCAGTAGTACTCTTTTTAATATAATATCTCAAAAAAACCAGCTCTTGACAAACTGTACAGTTGAGTTTGGAAGCCCTGAAATACCAAGATGAAATAAGCGCTCATCTCAGTGAGACAAACTAAGATCTATTAAGCTGTTTTAATATAAATCATTCCACTGGCTTCAGAAGGATTTGGATCAGGGTTACAAAGAGAATTGCAAGAATTCATCTGCTGCTTCCTAGTAGAAAGGTGGAGCATATTTACTAGGGAGAAGTTGGCTGCTATCAAAATGGATCTGGTTAGCCTTTTCAACACTGCTAATTATATATATATATATATATATATATATATATATATATATTGTTACAGAATTAAACAGTTTGATCTAAAATTTTATAATTGCAATTAGTTCTGTGCAGTTTTCAAACTAACAACAAAATTTTTTTAGTTAACTACAATGGCTTAGCATATATTTTTTCCAAGAAGAAGGCAGCTATGGTCGTAGGACTGAATTCGGATAACCTGGCAGTATCTATGAATAATGTTTCAAGACAATGTTCTTGTAATTACAAGCCCTCAAACCAACAAGATTTCCGTTCTTTTGGTGCCTACTCTCTGTTCTTAACGATATGAATTGTATATTCTGCTTGCCAAACTGTTAAAATTTCCAGTATATGAAGGCTTTTGATTTGTGTACCTTTCTGCAGTGTAGTGGCAATTTGACAAGTCTGCATCTGTAATGAGCACCACTGGGAAAATAGAGATTTTTTTTGTTTGTTTTTCTGTATTAAAAACATTCCAAAACTAATGAAAAACTGAACTTTAAATGAAGCTAGAAATACACCTTTGTGTTACTACCAATAGCATAGGAAAATCACCTACATATTTTTTGCTGTTATTTAAGCATACTTATTAAGCACACTAACTTAAATGCACTCAGGTGTTACCAAGATTTGCTTTTCACTGCTCTTTTAATGAGCAAAGTCCTTGGCAGAACTATTTTTCAGCACAGACAAGCCTCAGAAATGCTATCTGTAACATCTCCATGGTATGTCTAGTACCAAATGATCCTGTTAAAACCAATGGACACCTTGGGAAATTAGATGTCATTCCACATGAAGGGGAGCATCACACCTCAGCTCTCCAGGAGTACTGAAGTACTAAAGGAAAGAACAATTCAGTCCTCAAACCAAGTGTCTGCAGTACAGAGCTGAGTCTAGAGAGGGAGGGATTCATTCAAGCAGAACATTTGGCTGTACATGACAAATTAGTGTCATGACTATTGATTGCACTGTCTCTGCCTATAATCTCATCAGAATATTATCATTTTGCAGGACTGGAGCTTCCTGTTGTACAAAAGAAAAATTTTCCTAAAGATGTCTGGTGTTTGTAAGAAGAGATCTTTCCAAAAGTACACAGGTACTATAAACAAGATACAAGAGTAGTGAAGTAATTTTTGCTGAATTTACCAGCTTGAGGTGCTGCACTATGAAATTTCTGGATGTTTGCAGTCAATAAGGTTTTTGTGCCACAAGAGAAATGTTTCCCCAACAAATGCTGATTTAAATGTTATACATTCCCACTGCTTCAATTTTTGCTCGAGGCTAAGTAGATGATTATTTAGTGTTGCTACAAGCTGTCATATTACTTATGCTGCTCACCAAAGAGGTGGTTGTGTTTCAGCATTAGGCAGGGAGTGTTCCTGTGTGTGCATTGGAGCCCAAAAGGACCATTTCAAAAGGTTGTTGCCTATGTTTGTTGATACCCTCTAAAGTTGATTTTTGTTGCAGATGGCAGCAGAAGTTGAATTTCCCTGTGAAGGTGGGTGGGAGTGGCAATCAGATGGAACTGGGAAAGGGTTATAAGTGTTTTAAATTCTTCTGTGGCAAAAAGTGTGGAAACTGTGGATAGGTTAAAAAATGATGGATTACTATGCAGGGTTAATTTTTCAGGAATGAAGTGGAGAAATTATAATGAAATTAATTGTAGTGGAATTTGTAAACTGGCATAGAATTGAGGTCAGTCATTGTAAAATTATTCCTTTTCCTTTGGCTGGATGCTCTGCACAAACTGCTGTTCCCCCTCCTACAGTGTTAAAATCGCTTCTTTTCATTTGTGAGTGCTTTCTGGAACTGATGAGATTAAAACAGCATAATACCACTTCAACTCAATAGGGAATGATTGCAACTGAAAAGCATTTATTTATTTGATGTGAATCATTCTGTAGTACATTTCAGTTCCATACTGGAGAGGAGGTTTTTTGTCTTTTAAATATTTACTTAAATAGGAGAAGAGAGAGGATGTCCCTGTCCCTGGCACCTTTACTTTGCTAATGCAGGTGACACACACCTCACTTCACAGGGCTGATGTACTGCAAGGGGACATCTAGGATAGTTTCAATTATTCTAGTGTTCACTGTTAGCACATCAAGTCTTTGCAGTTTTATATGAGGATGCTGGTCAGTGTAAAAAAGAAATAATAACATAATATAAGTACCACAGAAAAGTTAAAAATGAAAAAAAAGGGTGGGTTTTGTTGTAATGCCACTGTCTGTTTGCTCCATCTTGCTAGTAGTTTTTAAAATGAGCTAGACATTAAATACCTTCAGTTTCATCTAAAAATAAAGTAGATGCTGTATGGAGAAAGTTTTGTCCTAATTAAAAGGACAGGTGAATTGTGGGGAGAATGACTTAATATTATGGTAACCATAACATTTGACTTTTAATTATATTAAAAAACACTTCCCCTTTAATGACAGCTTTCTTACACTAATGCATAGCTTTGCTTGTTGGGGTTTTTTTTAACTTAGTTAACAGTTCAAATCAGACTCTTTTATTCCAATTTACATACATGCCAATCATTCCAGGATGGAACTAACAATTGTATTGTAGCAAGAGCGAAACAGAGTTTGTAGAAAAAACATAAACAAAAAAATCTTTTTTTAGGCCAGTTAATATAATTGGAAAGAACAGGCAGGCTTTTGGACTCAAAGTCCTTTCTCTGGGTCTGAAAAGGAGTGGCAGAATCTAAGACAGAAACTAGATTAGGCCCAATTCCTCTTAGCTTAATCTAATTATGTTAGTTAGGGCACTTGAGAGATAAGGGTGCTCAGCATGCGTAGAGCCAAGCTCCCTCCCATGTTACAGCCATCGTACTCTGCTGGGGAAAGCTGTGCTGCAGGGAGAGCTGCACAAGCCTGTGATCACTTTCCAGAGACTCCTGGGGTACCTAATTGCTGGCACACACCCAGCCACCCTGGCAGCACACACAGGCACTGGAGGGCAGCTCTGGAGTGGCTCTGGATGAGCCAAGTCAACATCACCATCCCAGGTTGCACACAGAGCTCCCCTGCACCTGTGGCTTCCTCAGCCAGACAAGATTCCAACCAGGCAGAGGGATGGATTACCAGTATTCCTTGGAGTCCTTGGCTGTCTGGATGTACTGCTACCACCAGGCTCATTTTTCAGCTTGATGAATGTAGTGATTCTGGAAATGGTTGTGGCTGCTCCCAATCATTCTTTTAACAATTTCCATTATCCTGGCCAGTTATTTTCAGGGTCTTGGCCTTTTCCTTCAAAGCTATGTGTCTTTATGTTTCTATCTCTGAGTAGAAACTTGTATAAGTATGTCCCTTTGTGCCTGCTCCTCATCTTGGAGCAGTTTATGTACAGCAAATGCCTTTTGAAAGGGCTTGTGACAAAGTGACTCAGGCAAATGCTGCTCTAAGTGACCTTCCCACAGACACTGAGTAAAAAGGAGACAAGCATCAGCTCTCCATTTTGCTGGACAGGGCACTCACACTAAGCATACAGTCAGGTGGAAAGTAATGTGAGTTTCATAATGGTGTCAGTAGCAGACCCCAGCTGTTCCTCTGATACAGCACACACAGGGACTCCCCAGACAAGGCTGGCTTCAGCTCCATTTTACTCTACAGCTTTGTCTATCTTCAGGGTTTTTCAGCCCCAACAGGCATCTTCTTGTGTATTTTAAGCTGAAAGAAAAGTCAGCAAACAAAAACTGAGTCTACACAGGGACCCAGAAACAAAGCTGTCATTATAGGATATGCAACTGCTTTTTCTGAAGCACTGCTAAGTCTTATTCTCTCAGATCCGTACACACTGTCCAGTTCACATCTCAGACCACTGGGGGAAAAGAAAGTTCCCAAACGTGCTTGAAATACTAAAGTAGTCCCAGGAGGAAAAACCTAAACAAACACTGTCCCCCTCACTGGACACACCCCATCCTCCCCTAACCTAGGCAGCCAGTGACACTCTCAGCACTTTCTGCCAGCAGCTCTGACTGTTCTATTCCTCACAAGGAAGACTTACATTGCTTGTACAGTTTTTTGTCACCCCTGTGCATTGTATGCCTCAGTTACTGAGCCAGCTGTTCTGCTGATTCTTAGAAGGGCTTTCACAGAAAGGAATTCTGTATAAAAATGCTGCTGCCCTGGGACTAGGTGGTGAGTAGTGGTGACTGGTCATTAGGTCACCCCGGTGACTTGTGGTGACTGGCACCATTCGTTACACAAGGGCCCAAACAGCAGACAGACATTTTGGCAGAATGGCTTCTGAGTGACAACCTTCCTGTTATCAATCTTTACCAGGGTATGTAGATACAACAGTAAAGTAGACCAGGATTTCTAATTACCATTGCTAACTCACAAACGAGTTGGCTAGTTGGCTAGGGTTGGCTAGTCTTAGCCTCTTGACAGAATAAGTTATAATAAAAATAAAAAGCTGCACTTGTTTAAAATTATTAGTTATCACCTGAAATGAGGACATTTCAGATGCCATTTCCTTGAATATATGGTTAATAGTTTCAAATCTTAGAAAGCATGTGCCAGTTCCTCCCCCTCATACAGCTCCACAAACTCCACAGTCTTTGGATTCACTTCAAATCTTATTCTCAGTATGACAACAAGAATTGCTGACACTGTAATTAAGCAACAAGAATAATTCCAGTAATAAGACATACAAACAAGAATAGCTTAGCAAGCAGGTAAAGATCTAAAGCCTCAGGAAAGGCTGGATAAGCTTTCAGCACAAACAGAACCATAGCAAATTAAGCAGGTTTGCTTAAATTGTACCTGAGAAGGCCACTCCTAGAAACAGGTCTTGAGCCACAACCTAATTTCTCCTTTCCAGGTGGCCCTTGCAGACAACCTGAATCCAGAATATCTAAAAGTGCCATGTTCTCACTTCAGGCCTCATCAGCCCTTACCAAAAAGGCCACAGAACATCTTGTCTAGCTGGCCTCAAACTTATGGTCTCTTCACAGGGGCAGATGGGATGTGGGGAGGTGACTGGGACAGGTTATGCTCAGGGCTTGCTAGCACTGCAGGATAAGAGATGCTGGGAGTGAACTTCAGTTTCTCTCCAACTGTACTGATTAGCTCAGCAGTAGTCCCAAATATGATCCTGGGACCTCATCAGGAGTTTAATTCAAAGCAGTAAGTTTGTTCTTTAGGCTGTACTCAACTCACAGAGCTTCTTTATCCACTGGATCAAGGAAAGCCCCAAAAATTACACATTAGGTATGCACAGTTTCATAGCAAATGCAAATACACACTTTAAATGTCATATGAATGCAGTGGATTGCATTAACAGCATGCTGGTGGCCTACTTAAATACTAGCATTTTCTTCTCTTCAATGCATGTGTAATTTATAACAGCCAGCTAACATCAGGAAGCCCATCATGCTCAAAGGCTGAAATACTTGTATATCATACTTGTATACTGTACTACCCCCAAAGACTAATAGTAAAACAAGATAGGGGAATTCACTCCCTAGAGAGAAGACTCCTCCAGGCTTTAAGGACACATAACTTCCAATTAAAGCTTTACAGAAGAGCTGATACCTGCAGTATGACTAAGGCTCAAGACTACCCAGTGCATGTTTGTCTGATGAGGTGCCTGTGGCACTACTGTAGCATTACAAACATGTACCAGTAAATCCACCTCTGAATGCAGTTCATCTCTCTTGGGAATGAAGTTCATCTTTCACAATACAACATAGTCTTCTAAACAGAAGGAGAAAGAAAAAAACATTTACCATTCTTGTGCCAGGCGGAGTTCAGCTTGAAAGAAACCGGATGAAATGTGTATCATTCATCTAAGGAACAAATCCACACTACAGATTTGTCTGGGAGACAAGTGAATGCGATCCAAAAAAGCTATCCATTTCAGAATGGGAGGCTTGAATTCAGTCCAGCCAGAAAATGCATGCTGAGTAGCATCCATTTATTCAGAGTAGGAATGGTTTCTTCTAAGAGCACATTGCCTTGATCATTGTATTAAACACTGTATATATAACCAACAAAAATTCCCATCTTTGCAAATGCAGGCTATCTGCCAGTTCCACAAAGGGATTTTTTTTTTTACTAAATAGCTACTGCACAAGGGCTGTTGCCAGCAGAGCAGGTTTTGTGTGCTCAGCCTACTGTGATCATCAGGTCTGAGGGCACAGTAAATGGAATTCACAAGCCTTTCCAAGTCGCCTCCTGTGTAAAGCCCTGAACAGACAGTCCCAGAAGTGAAGTAAGGAGCAACTTCCCCCTCCGCCCCTTTGGGCAGCTCTCACACATGCTTTTAGCAATACCTAAAACAAGAAAAACACCTACAGCCACTTCACTGGGGCTGGCGGAAACAGAACGGAAATGAGAAACTGATTAAGTGGAGAGCCAGCTTCACACGCAGAGAAACTTCCAACTTTTGTTCCCAACGACTTTTTAAAAAGTGCTGCAGTTTTACTAGTGTTCCCTTTGGAAAAAAAAAAAATAAAAATCTTGGCCCATGAGCTCTCAGTGCCTACACAGATGAAAGTTGTGAGGCCTTAAATGACTTCAGCAGGAAACGACTGGGAAGGGGAGGGGTCTGTTTTCTGACAGTCCCATTACACATTTCTAGGAAAAATCTTTTCAAGTTCTGTGGACGAAAACGAAACAGAATTGCAGCACTGCCTCTCTTTTGGAGACAATCAAAACAACACTTTTTCTGCTCCCATGCTGAAGTGCTGCAAATTCCCTTCTTTTTTTATCTCTCCTTTTCTCAGGATCTTGAGGTCAGGAATAGCACTTCAGATTGAAGAAACTGTTAGAACCAACACATTCTAATCTGCTCAAAAAGGACCCACGTTTGTTTCAGGTAAACTTGAAGAATACTTTGTTCTGCAGTTGCATTCATAAATCCTTCTGCCATTTCCCAAACCCCTCACAAACTGTTTAGTGAGCTCAGGAGTTTTCTGTTTAGTAGCAGTGACAAAGCACTCGACTACTGCAGGAAAGCTGTGCAATAACAAACGTCAGCCAAGGTCACCCCCAGATCACCGGGGTGGAAGGTCATCCTCAAACAGTATTTCCATTTTCCCCCTCTTGGTAAATTGCTCTGGGAAAAATCCTCTTTTTTAGTGTAATGTAGTTAAAAAGTAGAAAGTCACCACCACTTACACAAAGCTGGAATTCCTGGCCGTGTTGGGAATTTTAACTGATGGCTCCACCCAAGCAGTGTGTGGAACCAGGGTAATGGCTAACACAATGCAGAGCTTAAAATGGAGTGATGTTGCAGCTCCAGCTGTTTTTAGAACTCAGTAAAAGAGATTTTTGGAAGCATTAGAGAAGAAATAGAAACGGAGGTGAATTATGGCTTCTAGTCTGATGATGTGCACTAAGGAATATGTGAGTGACAGTGTAAAAAGGAAGAAAAAAAATCATCACTGGACAGTATTACATAGTGCCATGCTCAGGACCAAGACAGCCACAAAAAAGTGATGACTGTTGGGACATATCTCATGGGAAACAGGTGCATTGCTTTTTATCTGTGCTTCTAGAAAAGGTGCAGATACACAACAGCTTGGGATAGACAACAGAGCTTTTGTTCTGATGAAGAAGAAAGGTTCACTGTGAGCAGACTTGGCCCAACTGCCCTTAACAGTTCCTGTGACTCCATGTGCTCCACAAATCCCTCAGTTATCAGCAAGCTACAGCTCCCTATTTATTAGCTCATCCAAGCCAGCTCTGCAAGGGCTTTTTTATTCCCTGAGAACTGAGCTGTACTGTTTGACCAAACAAGTTTCCACCTTCTTTCCCATGCAGAGACGAAAAATCACTGGCAGGGCACAATGATGACAAGCATTTACCTTATTACCAAATATATTTCCATATAGGTCCCTGCTTATATAGTCCCTCAACTAGCTGCTTGTTCTGATGTAGATTTTTAGCAATTTAATAATTAGTTAGTATTTAATGAGTATTTAGTAGTAATTTGGTAGATCTGCTTTCTCTCTGGAGATGCTAGACACAAAGGATTTATCCAGTGAAGAGAATCATGGTATAAACTCTGTCCCCTCTGAAAACAGAAGTTAATTTGCTGCCAACATCAATGCTTCATATTTGCACAGGGTACTGTGCTGTGTATAAAAAAAATAATTAAATAAGTAGATAAGCAATGGAACTATTTGACAAGAACTACAGAGGGGTGAGATATTTAATAAAACACTTCTGGGGCTTTCATCTCATAAAAACTAATTTAAAAGTTTGCTCATAAATAATAAAATATTCTGTGTTTCTTTGAAAAATCAAAATACCCAAACCTCAGGTAATGCAGTTCTTCACTAACATTACAACAGCCTCTGTCAGACCGTGTTAAACCTGTACATCCCAGTTCCATATTGGCAGGTAGGACTCACTCTGCAAACTAGACCTAACTAGGAACATTTTGCTAAGCACATTCTAAAGGGCTATAATTCCCCCCCTAAAAAATGGTCTGAGAATTCTGAACTTTCTGGAGTGGTCAAATTAAACAGTTTGAAAATAATATGCTTGAGGCTTACAGGAGTCCTAAAACACTACTACAGATACAGCAGCATTTAAAATTACTAGGTTGAAATTATCATCAGTCTGACTTCAGCACAGTGCTAGCTTTTCCCCTTAGAAATAAATTTAACATCATTTCACTCTGTCACTAACCAGGATTATTTAGTTCTGATATAGTCCCTATCACTGAAGCACATTAACAAGCTGAGCACTTCTCTAAAATAAAACTGTAGGACGTCAATGCAAATCAACAGTAAAAATCTATTTTGGCACGATGTAAGAAGTAGAATAACTTAGTTACAGAACATCTGAATGAGTAAAAGAAATACTGTTTTGCAGGCCACTTCTGAAAACCAAAGCAGTTTGCTTTGTCCCCATTGATAGATAAAACCTACAATTTTTTGGCACAAACCCTCCAACATTTAACCTGTTATTTTTAATAAATGGACTTTGAAAAGAACAAAATATGAAGGAAACCTTTAGTGAATCATGCAGGCTATAAATTTTTTGGGCAGCTGAAGTTCTTTATATTTTGGAATTAATAGTCCTGAGGTAGAAGGGCTAATTCAGAGTTATTGAAAGAGAAGTGTCCATCTTACAGCATTTTCCTACAGCTGCACTGTGAACATTCTTTATGCTCTGTTCTCTTGACAGGAGTGATTTTCCTTGGACATCAGTGATTAATGGAAACTCCAGATCACTTCAGTAAAATGCAGTCTCACAAGGAAGAGCCTGCAACATCTCAGAGATCACAGTCTTAAAAAGGATCCAAACCCAGTGAGCAACTGCATCTTCCCTAAGTGAAACCTGTCCATCTTCTAAAATCATCTCATGGGGAGCAGATGTCCACAGTAACAGCAAACTACTGTAACACCAACCCAGGAAAAACTATGGCTAAGGTAATATACCTTTGGGAAAAGCTTTTAAAAAGTACTTTGACTCTTTTTTAATAATGTTTCTATCAGATTTACTGGATTTTAGAAGTCTGTTTTACTCAAGCTTCTTCCTGATCACCACTGTACATTTGCAAAGTGTACTTATCATCCAGGGAAAGTCTTCTACAAACAACCATTATTTTCAAAGGAAAATGGAAAAATACAGCAAAGGCTTCAAAGATGTGAGTGAATTATTTCATTCACAAGTGCACCATGTGCTCTCTCTTCTGTAATGACACAGTACAGAAAACAAGAGGTAATTAATGCAATTCCTTTGCCAAATGAGTGGGATCTTATAAAGAATTGGCACATAATTCTGATTTGAGCTTTCTTGTTTTAAACAAAACCAAACCTAATACAGAACAATACAATGTACTAACATGGTCCTTTACCATATTTTTCTTTTTTCCCCAATACAAGTGTCTGCAAAGTGCTGGGCCTGTAATCAAAGGACACTCAGTGCCCAAACCAGCACTGCTGATGCAGCCAGACATTTCTGTGTACTACAGTACAGTCATGAAAGTGAACCAAAGAAGAACATTTGGTCTTTTGTTGTCTTACATACCAAGAGAGAAAAGCATGTCTCTTCCTCTGTTCTACCCAATGAACAGATGTGAGTTTAATCACATACAAAAGAAAATGCTCACAAGTTTCAGACTATGACTTTGATATTTAGGAGTAAAATTACTTTCTCAATAAAAGTAATTTTCATCTAATTATCTTGAAACTCTCCGTAAAAGGAAGATAGGTAAGGAATTGGATAAATACACCAAAAACCAAAGGGTTTCCCTTGGTGTAATTTTCTTCAGCTGGAGAGAAACCTAAGGTCATTTTCATAAACAAAACACTTATGGCAAGATAAGAAAAGAAGCCTCAGGGAAAGTCATAGAAAGTTATAGAAGATTCTTCAATAAATACATATTACAGAGCAGTGTAAATTCAGATGCCTCCTCTGTCTTGCTGAACTCAAAGCAACAAATCAACGCAATACACAAGGTTAGAAAACAGCAGAATTAGGTAAAATAGAAGCAGAAAATGCCATACAAAAGCCCAAAAGGGCACCTTAAGGGTAAGCTGGCCACTAACCTACTATCCAGCTCCCCTGCCTCCCCCCAACTCAAATCACCTCTTAAATACCTAAAGCAGATTACCCTTCCTTCTGAGGAGCATTACAGCTGACAAGATGTGTGAAATGCAGACCCAGGGAACACAGATCTGGGGCAACTCTTCAAGACACGTTTTGAAAGGATGTCCGTGGCATGGAGGTGGTTGGAATCACATCCAGAGAGAACAGGTATGTTCCTAAAGCCATCTGGCCCTTGGTTACCAGGATCTGTCCTCACACTCTGCAGGGATAATGTGCACAGAGTACAAAGGGATCTCTTTTCCACATCTGGGTATTGCACCAGGAGCACTGGGTGGAGGGACAGAGATGAAATCTGTGGTTCTGCTGTGAAAGTAAGATGCACAATGCTGGCATCTGGCAGCCATGAAAGACACATGAGGCAGAGCTGGGCCTCTGGGCTGATGCCAGCCAGGGTGTCTGCAAGGATAAGAAGAGCCTGTAACCCTTGCAGAAGGGTCAGGATGGCAGGACACAATTATGGCCCATGCTGGTACTGCAACTGCAAATTCTCTAGCTTCCCAGAGTTTCACTGTCTACCCAACATCCTAAATTAATTTTAAACCCACAGACATTCAAAGTTCATCACAAATTACAAGGCAAACAAAACATCCAG